CTAAGGTTTTGCTATGCGGTTGCTAGGGTACCCGGGGTGGTTGCTAAGGTGTTGCTATGCGGTTGCTAGGGTACCCCGGGCAGTTGTTAAGGTGTTGCTATGCGGTTGCGAAGGTACTCAGGTGGTTGCTAGGATGTTGCTAGGGTACCCGGGGTGGCTGCTAAGGTGTTGCTATGCGGTTGCTAAGGTACACGGGGCAGTTGCTAAGGTGTTTCTATGCGGTTGCTAGGGTACCCGGGGTGGTTGCTAAGGTGTTGCTATGCAGGTGCTAAGGTACTCGGGGTGGTTGCTAGGGTGTTGCTGGGGTACCCGGGGTGGTTGCTAAGGTGTTGCTAGCATTTTTCTAGCATGATTCGCAAGTGACTAGCATGTCGCTAGCATCATTAGCAAGTGACTAGCATGTCATTAACATGATTAGCAAGTTACTAACATGTTGTTAGCATGTTTCTAGCATGATAAGCAAGTGACTAGCATGTTGCTAGCATCATTAACAAGTGACTAGCATGTCGTTAGCATTATTAGCAAGTTACTAGCATGTCGCTAGCATGTTTCTAGCATGATAAGCAAGTGACTAGCATGTCGCTAGCGTGATTAACATGTGACTAGCATGTTGTTAGCATGATTAGCAAGTTACTAGCATGCTGCTAGCATTTTTCTAGCATGATTAGCAAGTGATTAGCATGTTGCTAGCATTTTTATAGCACGATTAGCATGCTACTAGCATTTTGCTAACATGATTAAAAAGTGACTATCATGTTGTTAGCATGATTAACAAGTTACTTGCATGTCGCTAGCATGTATCTAGCATGATTAGCAAGTGACTAGCATGTTGCTAGCATCATTAGCACATAACTAGCATGTCGCTACCATGATTAGCAAAGTTACTAGCATGTCGCTAACATGTTTCTAGCACGATTAGCATGCTACTTGCATTTTGCCAGCATGATTAAAAAGTGACTAGCATGTTGCTAGCATTATTAGCAAGCGACTAGTATATCGTTAGCATGATTAGCAAGTTACTAGCATGTTGTTTGTATGTTTCTAGCATGATTAGCATGTCGCTAGGATAGATAGATAGAAATAGTCAGATGATAGATAGATATATAGATAGATAGATAGATAGATAGATAGATAGATAGATAGATAGATGGAAATAGTCAGATAGATAGATAGATAGATAGAAATAGTCAGATAGATAGATAGATAGATAGATAGATAGATAGATAGATGGAAATAGATAGATAGATAGATAGATAGATAGAAATAGTCAGATAGATAGATAGATAGATCGAAAGAAATAGTCAGATAGATAGATAGATAGATAGAAATAGTCAGATA